TATTTATTCCTGCCAGGAGGGAGCAGGGTCTGGCAGATAAACAGCGCCGCAGACGAAACGTTTTGCCTTTCCCCCTGCTCCCTAAAACACTCACATACCACACAGGATGGAGACGCTGTCTCACTGGGGGGCTCACCAGAGCTCAGCCCCCGAACCTATTTACAGCTCCAGGTCACAAAGGAATAATGCAGCGCTATGGAGCATATGCAGAGTGCCTTTTCATCACAACGCTAGCCAAACGCATATCCGAGATTGAGAGGAGAACTTCCAGATAGGGGAGGGCATATAACCAGGAGTTGAGTGTCGGACTAGGACCTACGAGACTGGGGTTCGAATCCTCACTCAACCATTAACTCGATGGCCAGTCACTCACTCTCAGCCTGGCCTACCTCTCAGGGTTGGGAGGAGGAGAACGATGTACGTCACCTTGTATGAAGGAAAGGTGGGGTGTAAATGCTCCTTCTCAGGTGTGCCAACCAGGGAGGGGAATGTTATTGTACCCCCACTCCTCCCATCCTTGAAAACAGGCCAGTCTGTTGGGGCAAATGACTACAGAGGGGGAGATTGCTGGATCCATCAAGGGGACCAGTTCTCCCAGCTGCCTAGCCCCACTCCCTCGGCAAGGGACCCTTAAAAGGCGAAGCTGCTGCCTAAGTTGTTTTTTATCATCATCATCACCAAAATTTGTATACTGCCCAACATCCAAAAAAATCACAGGGTAGTTCACAACATAAAAATGCAAAATGGGAACACAAAATGCACAACAAAAACAGGAACAAAACAAGCCAATAAACACCCCCTCTCACAAAAGGCCATAGATTGTTTTATCAACCGAAGGCTTGGGAGAAGAGGGACACTTTTGCCTGGCACCTAAAGAGATGTAATGAAGGCACCAGGAGAGCCTCCCCGGGCAGAGCACTCTGTAAATGGGGAGCCACCACAGAAAAGGCCCCATTCTTGTGTTGCCACCCTCTGGGCCTCTCATGGAGGAGTCACATGAAGAAGGGTCTAGAATAGATGGTGATCACTAGGCCCATATGGGGAGAGGCAGTCCTTGAGGCATTACAGTCCTGAACTGTTGAATTGTCCTGGAAACTGATTGGCAACCAGTGTAGTCGGGCCAGGATTGCTGTTATTTGCTCAAACTGTCTTGCCGCAGTGGCTGCCAAATTCTGCACCAGCTGAAGTTTCCGAACTGTCTTCAGAGGAAGCCACACAGGTTTTCTTCTTCTTTGGCGATCCCTCGTTGCCAAGTAAGATTGTCTTCCATAAACACGGTTTTAACAATGAGTCCATAAGTGACTGTGGAGGCAAATTCTGGATCCACACGTCCTTCCACAGTGGGGACATTGGTTTCTGGGTGGGAGTTAATCACAGTGAGGGTTTGCCAAACATGCAAACTCTTAGTGTGTTTCTCCCTTGCATCCTGAGTTCGAGTGTCTTCAAAGCCCAGGACACCTTTGGTATAGGCTGTTCTCTAACTGGAGTGTTCACAGGCCAGAGTTTTCCAATTGTCAGTGTTTATACTACATTTTTTTTAGCTTTGCCTTGAGACAGTCTTTAAACCACTTTTGTTGACCACCAGCACTACGCTTTTCATTTTTAAGTTCGGAATAGAGTAGTTGCTTTGGAAGGCGATGATCAGGCATCCGCACAACATGACCAGTCCAACGAAGTTGATGTTGAAGAATCATTGCTTTGACACGGGTGATCTTTGCTTCTTCCAGTACATTGACATTAGTTCGCCAGTCTTCCCAAGTGATGTGTAAAAATTCTCAGAGACACTGTTGATGGAATCTTTCGAGGAGTTGGAGATGGCCTTTATAAGTGGTTCATGTTTCACAAGCATACAACACATTGCAGTAATCTAACCAAGAGCTTACAATTGACAACAGAAGTTAAGCTCTCCCTGTCCAGATAGGGGCACAGCTGGGCCACCAGCCGAAGCTGATGGAAGGCCCTCAGTGCCACTGAGACCACCTTGGCCTCAAGTGACAGCAAAGGAAGTACCCCCATTTTTGAAATGTTGTTTTTCAATTTGCATCTTTTGCATTGTTTGGATTCACATTCGTTTGCTCGTTGTGAGCCGCCTTGGGGAAATTTTGGGGCCGAAAGGCAGAATAGAAAGAGAAAAGCAACATAACATAATATAGGAAACGAATTCGGAGACTTCCAAGAGATAGCTGCAGAAACTAACCCTCACTGTTTTATGCCAGGGATGATTGTTGTTGTTGCTGCTGCTGCTGTTGTTTAGTCATTTAGTCGTGTCCGCCTCTTCGTGACCCCCTGGACCAGAGCACCCCAGGCACTCTTGTCTTCCACTGCCTCCTGCAGTTTAGTCAAACTCATGTTCGTAGCTTCGAGAACACTGTCCCACCATCTCATCCTCTGACGTCTCCTTCTCCTTGTGCCCTCCATCTTTCCCAACATCAGGGTCTTTTCCAGGGAGTCTTCTCTTCTCATCAGGTGGCCAAAGTCTTGGAGCCTCAGCTTCAGGATCTGTCCTTCCAGTGAGCACTCAGGGCTGATTTCCTTCAGAATGGAGAGGTTGGATCTTCTTGCAGTCCATGGGCCTCTCAAGCGTCTCCTCCAGCACCAGAATTCAAAAGCATCCATTCTTCAGCGATCAGCCTTCTTTATGGTCCAGCTCTCACTTCCATACATCACTACTGGGAAAACCATAGCTTTAACTATATGGACCTTTGTTGGCAAGGTGATGTCTCTGCTTTTTAAGATGCTGTCGAGGTTTGCCATTGCTTTTCTCCCAAGAAGCAGGCGTCTTTTAATTTCGTGGCTGCAAGGGATGATTAACCTGCAGGAAACAAACTCCCACGATCCCAGACAACTCTCCCCACCCAGGTAAGAACATAAGGAGAACCTGCTGGATCAGGCCCAAGGGCCTCAGGCCACCCTGCCCTCACAGTGGCCAACCAGAGTCCACAAGCAGGACTCGAACACAGGAGCGCTCTCCCTTCGTGTGGTTTCCAGCAATTCAGAAGCAGTGCTGCCTGCGACCACAGAGGCCGAGTCGAGCCGAGCTGTCCTGGCTAGTAGCCACTCTCCCCCTTATGAGTTTGTCCAATCCTCTTTCAAAGCCATCCAAGGCTGGTGAGCGTCACTGCTTCTTGTGGGAGGGAGTTCCATAGATACAAATGAGATGGGAGGAAAAGTCAGCTGTGAGCTTTTTAGCCGGTTCGCCAAGTGAGTTTTTTATATTTCATTTCATATGCCTTGTAGGCGCTTGAATAATGAGCATTAATATTTTGAAGCCCCTTAATAAACGATAGCAAGCGAAACTGCTTTCTCTGCTTTTTGCCTGAGGCTGATGGGAGAGGTACTCCAAAACAGCTGGATTACTGTGGTTTCCCACGACCGGTATTCAGAAACTGCTTCCAAATGTGGATACACACAAGTGAGGAAAACAGGGGTTCAGGCCAAGGTAAGGGACAATATAAAGCAAATCAGGTTCACCAAATGTACCCACAATTACAAAACATACAGTGCATACTCCAGAGTTATCAGCGCAAGTCCAAAACTAAAATGACATATTTTTTTCAAATCTCTGGCGCAAGAAAGTTCCTGGAAGTGGCAGAGCAGCTGTGGTAAAAGGACTGGAGGCCAGTAATCCCAGTTTCAGAGGAAAACTCCAGCTGAGAACCCAAGCCAAACCCTAAGAAACAAACTTTCCGAGGCTGTGAGCCTGCTGACTCACCCTGTCAGGTTAGTAAGGTCCCGCAAAGGGTACAAGGGAGGTGCCTGCTGCAAACTGGCCGGCACAGCATAGAGGGAGCCATCTAGTGAGCATTTATAGTGGACATAGAAAAAATACCAGAGGCTTCTGAAAGAGACGTTCCAAGAAGCAACCCAAATCAAAGGAAGCATTCAGCCCATGCGGTGCAATCGTGCCGAAGAGATGGACGAACTAAATTTCTTGTCTTAAGAGTATTGATTCTGTTGTATGGGTCAGATTTCAATCGCCAAATGGCGAAAAATTATATGTGCTTTTTCTGAAGGTGATGTTTCCCCGGAAGGGAATTTATTGAGGCACTCCTAAAGCAGGATGTACAGTACTTTTCTGTGTATAAGACTAGGTTTTTCTCTTTAAAAATCATGCTAAAAAGTGAGGGTCGTCTTATACATGGACAGTGCATAGGGTGGACGTTTGATTGGCTGCTGCCGCAGCTGCCAGTGGCTATTGGGCGTGTTATTGGTTGCTGCGGCAAGGGCTAGTGTTGATTGGCTGACGCTGCAGCAACTGGGTGGGCGACTGGCAGTCAACAACTCTAGACGCCTAATACATGGAAAAATACGGTATGTTTTGTAATTGCGGGTACATTTGTTGAACCTTACTTGCTTTATATATTATACTTTATATTGCACCTTAGCTGGGCCTGAACCCCTGTTCCCCCCCCACTTGCGTATATTTTCATACAGTGGGGTCCCCCCTTTTATGTCTCCAACTGTGGAGGTACAGCATAGCAATCCTGGCTAGTTGCTGTCGATAGTTCTCTCCTCCGCGAATTTGCCCAATCCTCTTTTAAAGCCATCTCAGTTGTTGCTCAACACTGCCTCTTGTGGGAGTGAGTTCCACAGGTTAACGAAGGACATTATTTTATCCATCCTGCGTCTCCCAAGTTTCAGCTTCATTGGGTACCCACAAATCCTAGCCTTAGGGGAGAGAGCTTCCCTCTTCTTCCTCTTCTTCTTCTTCCTCCTCCTCCTCCAGGAAAATATCCCCAGAGTCCCATCCCTCCAGGGCAGCCCCTTACACTCTCCTTCTGGGCGCACAAACAGAAAACTGCTCTTCCGAAGCCCTGGCTTCCTGTGTGACTCATCCCTGCCACCCACCTCACCCCGGTTTCACCCCACGGTGCTGACGCAGGCACCCTGCTGATAGCAGAGCTGTTTCCAGAGCCCGGGGGATTAGACAACAAAGAGGGGCTGTAGGGGGTGGGGGAGAGAGAGAGAGAGAGAGAGAGAGAGAGAACACAATTTGAAGCTCAGATCGCAGGAGCGACAGCGGCAGTCAGAAGGGAAAGATTCTCTGGCACAGCGACCAAGAGAGGCTGTTGCTTCTTCTTTTTAAGCAAATTGCCTGGTTTCTCTTCACAGGTATCGGTGCAGAAGCTCCGTGCATAGCACTTAAATGTGGAGGGGAAAGCAAGGCTGCGCCTGCTACCATCACCCTGGCCTGCAAGCATTCACAGAATCATAGAATCTGAGAGTGGGAAGGGACCCCGAAGGACATCTAGTCCAACCCCTTGCAATGCAGGAATCTCAGCTAAAGCCCTTTGTGGCTTAGGGCCCTCGTATTTACGGGACCACCTCTCCTGGTCTGCCCCACAGAGGACCTTAAGGTTCATGAATAATCATAGTTTAGAGGTCCCGGGCCCTAAGGAAGTCAGGCTATCCTCCACCAGGGCCAGGACCTTCTCAGTGGTGGCTCCGACCTGGTGGCATGCTCTGTCCCATGAGGCCAGGGCCCTGCAGGATTTAACCTCCTTCTACAGGGCCTGTAAGACAGAGCTATTCCACCTGGCTTTCAATTTGAACTTAGCCTGATCTTTTATTCCCCTTCCTTCCCTCCCCCTCCCCTTTTTATGAAGATTCCCTGCTCTGGGATCCCACAACTGGTTCTTCCCTGGTCTCCTCGCTGGCCCAAATAGGACTAATTTAGCCAGCTAGCCCTGGTGATCATCTAATGTTTATTGGATGAATTCCCCCTCCCCCAAATTGATTTTTGAATTCTGAATTTATTGTTATCCATGTTTTATACTGTATTTTATGCTGTTTTTTGTTGCATCAATTAAGTGTTTTAAATTTGTTGTAAGCTGCCCTGAGCCCGGTTTTTGAACCAGGAAGGGTGGGATATAAATAAAATTATTTATTATTATTATTATTATTATTATTATTATTATTACTAAGCACCCGCGGCAATGAGCCACCCAACTTCTGCTTAAAAACCTCCAAGGAAAGCTTGTCTTTCACCTGCTAAAAGGGGAGGGATTCACTAGTGGCTTGCATCGTTCTCAAGGCAGTTTGCTAACAGAATAGAGGCACGGAACACTGATGTGGTAGGAACCAGCGTGCTGCTCTACGCGGTATTGATGAAAAATAAAAAAATACCTTGTCACTTTTTCACAGTCTGTTTTGAATGCAACAGGCAGCATGTGACAATGTACGGCCCCAACTCAAGCCCCCGTCCGAGAGAAGAGGCTGAGTGTGGCCCCTGGGCCCTGTGTCCCTCTGCCATCTCTCCCCAACTCTGACCTGTTGCGTCCGCGGCTTGTAAGGCGAGCTGTTCTCCAAGTCAGCCAAGATGCTGGTCAAGGAGTCGATTTCCGCGTCCAGACTGGAACGCCTCTCCTCCAGGGTCTTGCCGCCAGCGCTGACCTAGACGAAGAGGGAAGGAACACACAAAGAAATGAAGGAATTTGGCATTAAGGGTGGAGACAGGTGGAGTCAGAGGTGAATTTATGGCCTGTGGGGTCTTCTGAACAGCCCATTTGGGGGGAGTTCTCTTCATTCACCGGACCATAAAGAAGGCTGATCACCGAAGAATTGATGCTTTGAATTATGGTGCTGGAGGAGAATCTTGAGAGTCCCATGGACTGCAAGAAGATCCAACCTCTCCATTCTGAAGGAGAAGTGCAGCCCAGAGTGCTCACTGGAAGGACAGATCCTGACCCTGAGCCTCCCACACTGTGGCCACCTCATGACAAGAGAAGACTCCTGGGAAAGACCCTGATGTTGGGAAGAGGCTGCGAGCGGCACAAGGAGAAGCCAGGACGAGCAGAGGTATCCAGATGGCTGGGACAGGGTTCTTGAAGCTACCAGCATGAGTTTGACCAAACTGCAGGAGGCAGTGGAAGACAGGAGTGCCTGGCATGCTCTGGTCCATGGGGTCATGAAGAGTCAGACACGACTAAACTACTAAACAAAAACAACAACTCTTCATTCACCTATGTCAAGATTAGATATATATGAGGAACTGTAGTGTTTCTGCCTTTGCACTGTGCTTGCCACCCCTGTCCTCAAACAACCATCCTTGCTGTGGGCCTGGAAGGAGGGAAGGTGGCGATAATAATGACGCCTCTGAAATGGGTGCTTCAGAGAGAGAGAGAATGGGGAAAATCAGGAAAAAATGTAATACAAATTATGTTGACAAATTATGTTGAGGTTGAATCCTGACAAGACAGAAGTACTGTTTTGGGGGGACAGGGGGAAGGCAGGTTTGGGGGACTCCCTGGTTCTGAATGGGGTAACTGGGCCCCTGAAGGACCAGGTGCGCAGCCTGGGAGTCATTTTGGACTCACAGCTGTCCATGGAGGCACAGGTCAACTCTGTGTTCCAGGGCAGCTGTGTACCAGCTCCATCTGGTACGCATGATGAGACCCTCCCTGCCCGCAGACTGTCTGACCAGAGTAGTGCATGCTCTAGTTATCTCTCGCTTGGACTACCACAATGCACTCTGTGTGGGGATACCTTGGAAGGTGACCCGGAAACTACAACTAATCCAGAATGTGGCAGCTAGACTGGTGACTGGGAGCGGTCACTGAGACCACATAACACCAGTCCTGAAAGACCTACATTGGCTCCCAGTACGTTTCTGGGCATAATTCTAAGTGTTGGTGCTGACCTATAAAGCCCTAAATGGCTCCGGTCCTGTATACCTGAAGGAGCATCTCCACCTCCATCATTCTGCCTGGACACTGAGGTCCAGCTCTGAGGGCCTTCTGGCAGTTCCCTGCAAGAAGCCAAGTTACAGGGAACCAGGCAGAGGGCCTTCTCGGTAGTGGCACCCGCCCTGTGGAACGCCCTCCCAGCAGATGTCAAAGAGAACAACAACTACCAGACTTTTAGAAGACACCTGAAGGCAGCCCTGTATAGGGAAGTTTTTAATGTGTGATGTTTTATTGTGCTTTTAATTCTGTTGTTAGCCACCCAGAGTGGCTGGGGAAACCCAGCCAGATGGGCAGGGTATAAATAATAGATGATGATGATGATGATGATGATGATGATAACAACGACAGTGCCTCTGTGATAAAAACAACTTGGAATCCAAAGAATTTGGAAACAATCTAGGAGAAGGTGATAAGAATGGCGACGTCTCACCAACAACCTGAGAACAACCAGGAAAAAATGCTGCAGTATTGTCCACACTGGGCTGGCAGAGACTCTCCAGGGACTCAGGCAAGAGATGATCCCAACTCTACCTGGAGAGGTCAGGATTTGAACCCAGGACCTTCTGAATGTCAGGGAGATAACTCTGCCACAGATCTCCGCCTTTCCCCAGCTTAAGAATTCAGACGCGTCTCTCAAGGGATGGGGTTACAGTGTGTTCTGGGGCGGAATCGCTGGGTGTGATTCTGCAAAGCCTTCAGCAATTTGAAGGGTGGCGATGGAAGCTGCCTCGTACCAGACCAGGCCATTGATTGAGCTATGTGTTGTCTACACTGACTGCCCCCCCCCCAGGCAGGGGGCATTCCCTGGATATGCAGGGGGCTCAACCTGGGTCGTTCTGCATTCAAAGCAGATCCTCTGCTATCGCGTTACAGCCCACCTCACTCATGCACAGTGGAGAACAGGGGTGTCAAAAGCACGTCCCCATTTTGCTCTGCAAGGAGATGGGGGCTTTGTTCTGCGCCAAAGGCTTCATCTGAGCACCTTGAAATCTGGCTTATTGGGTGGTAACAGAAGGTGCTCTTGGCAGCAGGGGGGAGAAGTTGGGGGGGCGCTCCCCTTGCCCAGCAGTTCCACCAAGGCCCTTTGGATCTCAGGCAACAAAGCATCAATTTACAACCGCTGTCAAGACACTGATGGGTTATATAATTCCCCAATAATAATAAATTATTGAAAAAAAACAAGGATAGCAGAGTAAGGAAGGAAGCAGTCTGGAAGCAAAGCTCCTCTTGGGCTTCTCATCCAATGGCATTTCAGGCCCGGCTCAATCGAGAGGAATCGCTGCTCTCCTGGTTAGCAGGGCGACTTGGGTACGTTCTCAGAGTTGACTCAAGAGGGATTTGTGACCCCATTTTTAAAGGGCAGCGGGCCCCATGCCTCACTCCCCCCCCCCAGCCTCCTTCTCAGCACGCAAATATGCAGCTTTTGATAATATTTCATGGTCATTTATAATCAAGGTTTTAGAGAAAATGGAAATAAGTCATTCTTTCCTAGCAGGAATTAAAGCAATCTATATTGATCAACCTGCAAATATATTAATAAAGAGCATTCTTTCAGACAAACACCAAATGGAAAAAAGAATGAGACAAGGTGGTCCCTTGTCTCCTCTGTTGTTTTTTGTGACCAGGGGTCAGCAACCTAAGGCCCATGGGCCGGAAGCGGCCTGCGGAGGTCGTTTGACTGGCCCACGAGCCGCCCCCAAACCAAGGAGCCGGCTCGCGCGCTACGCTAAAGCAGTGCAGGGCAGCGCGGGGACTCGCTTCTGCGGTGCCGGAAATCACATCTGCACAGACGCCAGAAATTGCAGGCACACATGCTCATGATCTCCACGGGACCGATCCGGCCCAGGTAAGATAAACCTTGCTGACCCCTGATTATGATGTTAGAAATACTGCTTCATAAGATAAGGCGAAACAGGGAAATTAAAAGTATTGAGGTGAGGTGTAAAGTCTATAAATTAAGGGCATTTGCTGACGATATGGTGCTGACACTAGAACAGCCTTTGAAGAGCATTCCCAAAGCATTAGAAAAAAATAAAAGGTTTGGAGAAGTGACAGGCTTCAAAATAAACTCTCATAAAACCAAAATGTTCATCAAAAACATGACATATTAGGTAGAATGTCAGCCTTTAAAACAAATATACTTCCCAGGATGCTGTTTTTAATCTAATCAATCCCAATTGTAAATAATTTAAGCTGATTCAAAGAATGGGGAAAAAAAGATATCTCTAAATTCATCTGGCAGGGGGGAAAGCCAAGAATTAAACATAAAGTTATGATAGATACAAACGAAAGAGAAGGCTACGTCCTGCCAGATCTGCAATTGTATTATGAGGCAGCTTGTTTGTGTTGGTTGAAAGAATGGATAGTATTGGACAATGCGGACATTTTAGATTTAGAAGGTCATAAATTAAAATTCAGTTGGCATGCATGTCTTTGGTATGGGAAGGCTAAAATCCATAAGAGTTTTTTGAACCACATTCTTAGGAAGAATCTGTATAGAGACTGGGAGAAATATAAAAATCGGCTGGAAAGAAAAAAAACACCTTTATGGCTATCTCTCAATGAGATACCCCTTCATGGATCACTGCCTTGCCATGGTGAAGGGGCTTGAATAACTCAGAGAAGCTATGAGCTATGCCGTGCAGGGCCACCCAAGATGGACAGGTCATAGTGGAGAGTTTTGACCAAACGTGATCCACCTGGAGGAGGAACCGGCAAGCCCCTCCAGTATCCCTGCCAAGAAAACTCCATGGACAAAGACAACAGGCATCTCCCAATGAAACAATTACAATTAAAAGTTAATATGGACAGACAATGGGCAATTTACAGGGATCTGCTGGATTTTACAGTGGGTGGGGGGTAACCCAGACTGAAATCAATGGAAAACTTAAGGAGCCAAGTTACAGATTGGTTGCAATTTCACCAGATATACGACATGTTTAAATGAGATAGAAAGAATGGATTTCTGGACCAAAGCTCCCAATTTGAAAAAGAAACAAAATAAGGATTACCTTCTGTCTAAAATGTTTAATTTTTTTATCAGAATGGGAAACAAAAGACGAGCTAGTTAAAGCTACAACAAAACACTGGACAATAGATATAAGGACACAATATAGATCTTAACCTCTTGGAGAAACTTTGGGAAAGCGCCCTGAAATTTACTGCAAGTTATTCACTGAAAGAGAATTACCGTATTTTTCGCTCTATAAGACGCACCAGACCATAAGACGCACCTAGTTTTTGGAGGAAGAGAACAAGAAAAAAAAATATTCTGAATCTCGAAGCCAGAACAGCAAGAGGGATCGCTGCGCAGTGGCAGCAATCCTCTTGCTGTTCTGACTCTGGGAGCTGCGCAGCCTACATTCACTCCATAAGACGCACACCCATTTCCCCTTACTTTTTAGGAGGGAAAAAGTGAGTCTTATAGAGCAAAAAATACGGTATTTGAAAATGATTCATAGATGGTACCAAACTCCGAGTAGGTTGGCTAAGATTTATGAAACAGAATCAGATATGTGTTGGAAGCATAGCTGTCAACCGTCCCTTATTTGGTGGGAAAGTCCCTTATCCCAGCGCCGTGTCCCGCTGCTGTCCCTTATTGATGATGTCCCTATATTTCCCGGGTGTCAAAGGAAGCAGCTCCTTCCTCCCTCCCTGCCGGCCAGGAGGAGGAGCTCCAACTGTGTTGCTTGGCTGCATTGCTCAGCCAGCAGGAGTCTAGAACGACTGGGGTGGAGCTGCATGCCTTGTGCCAATCAAATCGGCCGAGTTGCCTGGGGACTCGCCTTGCCAGCGCTCCCAGCGGAGGTGATGGTGGTTTCCTACTGCATCCCTTTGCCGGGTTGCTGCGCTGTGGGAACCACCGCTTGAGGCTTCCTTTGGCTGCTGGCTGGGCTTTCTGCCTTTGGCTCGGAGGGGCTCAGAAGTTGAACATACCCGCGCTCCAAAAATCCCTTATTATTGCTGCTGATCCCTTATTTTCGAGGCTGCTGGTCCCTTATTTTCAAATCTGTAAGTTGACAGCTATGGTTGGAAGTGTAAAGAAGAAGAGGGAGCCTTTTTTCACATGTGGACATGAAAAAAGGTAAAAGTATATTGGAAATGATTTATAATGAATTGAAAAACATGTTTGAAACTACTTTCCCCCCAAAACCAGAGACCTTCCTGTTGGGAATAACCTGGACAGACATTCCTAGGTGTCAGAAAAGGTTAGTTATGTATGCAACAACTGCGGCTCGTGTTTGGTTAGCCCCAACTAAGGAGGATTGGCAACTTAAAATGACAGAATATGAAGAACTTGCAGATTCAACACATAGAATAAGAGAGCAAGAAGAACATATATTTAAAGTAGAGTAGAATACATTTATTGAATATCTGGAAAATAACTGTATACACCTGAAAACGCTGGCAGCAGTAAGATCAATTCAACGGAGTAAATGATTTTTGATGGATGTAAAAGTGGAAAACTGATTTGAATGGTTACAGTAAAATATTCAGGAATGTACGATACTTAAAATGAACCATGGAAGGAGAAGAAGGGAAGTCACTGGATATTTTGAAGTTCGCAAAATGTTTCTTTTGAAATGTAAAATTGAAAACTCCATAAAAATTATATATAAAGAAGAATTCTAAAATGAAACCTACCCTCGGGGGACTTTAACCCTGCTTTCTGGGGAATTATACTAATGCATCAGTACTGGATGCATTTGGTCAATAGCAAATGTAGGAAAAACAGGAGACCCATGGATGTTATCTCGGTCGCAGGGAGGCAGAATAACACAGAGAAACCACTTTGCACATCAAATCGGTTTATGTTGTTGTAAAGACAAATCATTATTGCTTGGCTAGAATTAAAGCTGCATCTGGCTTGGAAATTACACTGTTTTTGGGGAAAACCTCTGTGTCTTGGGGTGTGTTTTCAGCGTTAGAGGGAATAGGAGGTGGTGCGGCATCTTCTGCCCCCCCCAAAAAAACCCCAGCTCCTTTGCCCCCCCCCCACTTCATCTGGGGATGAAGATCAAGACCCAGGACCATCCAAAAAGGTCATTAAACCTCTTCCCGGCACCAGCGCTCTTTCTGACGGAGAACAGCTCCAGAGGATATTGCCTCTTCTCTCCCCTTTTAATTAATAAAATTACAGCCCAGAGCTCATTATCGATAATTATGGCCACTGTGAGAGCTTCCCGTTTCTTTGCTGGCTTCCACCCCCGCCGACCTTAATCCTGTTCCAAATGCAGCATGAATTAGCGTTTAATTAGCCATTAAATAGAATTAACGGTCTCTGGCGGCAAGGTGGCACGCCGAACAATCGGAGGAGGAGGAGAAGGGAGGCTTCCTGGCGCAGGACAAGTCCGGCAGCCGCGACTGGGGGGAGATTCTCAACAAACCAGAAGCCCTCGTTCTCAGCCAGTCGACAGAATGTCACCAACGGGTCAGGCAGAGACACCATCCGCATGCGCCCGTCGCCACAGAAAATATTTCTGACGGGAATTCCATCTTTGCCCTCCATGACTGAGCCGTGGGAGAACTTGCCCTGCCAAGTCTCATCTTCTCAGAGAATTGAGACCCCCAGGGGTCATCTAGTCCAACCCCCTGCAGTGCAGGAACGACGCCTAGAGAATCCCTGAGAGATGGGCACCCAATGTCTGCTTAAAAACCTCCATGGAAGGAGAGTCCATCACCCAGCAAGGAAGTTCATTGTAACATCAAATGGCTCTTACCATCAGAATAATATGAAAATAATGATTTATTACTTATTTATTACTTATACCTTGCCTATCTGGCTGGCAAATATTATCTGAAGAAACCCCATGGGGCGGTTGGGAGATTATTATTATTATTATTATTATTATTATTATTATTATTAGAATTTATATACTGCCCTATACCAGGGGGGTCTTAGGGTGGTTCACAGAATAAAATCAAGATATAAAACCACAAAATACATAATAAAAATAAAAATAAACCAACCCAATATGCCTCCAACAAAAAACACATTTTAATAGGGCATAGGATGTCCATCAGATCAACCAAAGGCCTGCTTAAAAAGGAACATTTTTGCCTGGTGCCTAAAGGTGTATAATTAAGGCACCAGGTGCACTTCCCTGGGGAGCCACTGCAGAAAAGGCCCTGTTCTCGTGTTGCCACCCTCTGGACCTCTTGAGGAGGAGGCACATGAAGGAGGGTCTCAGAAGATGATCTCAGGGTCCAAGTAGGTTCATACGGAAAGGGGTGGTCCTTGAGGTATTGCAGTCCTCAGATAGACTTGATAAGGCCGTCCAATGTTGCTATTCTTAAAAAAGGGGGCGGTATGAAAAGGGAGCACAATACTGATTGAGGTGGGTGGGAAATGCAATCCTTTATGTAAGATTTGCAGACTGAAAGCAACAAAAGTCGTGAATTCCAAATACAGACATCACATTGGTTTCCGTTCCAGACCTGGGGTGAATAAGGGAACGCTGGCAATTTCCATTTCCGTTTCTGTTTTTGCTTTGTCCAGTCCTCTTTCAAAGCCATCCCAAATTCTCCAACATCCCTAGATGATGTCCCTGAGCACCATTCGCTGGGGAGTGTGAATGGGGAGAAGACTCCCTTGCACCTATTCTGCTTGTGTGCATCCCAGATACATCTGTCTGGTCACCACGATACAGAGAGAGGCTCTGCTGGAGGAGGTGGGTCTGATCCTGCAGGCTGTCCTGACGTTCTCGGAGGAAGCGAACCCTTCTCATGCTCCGAGCAAAAATTCGCCTTTCTATCAGAGTTCACGTAAGGGAGTTTTGCTTTGCGTTCAGGAGAGGCAAGAGGCAACAGCTGGGTGAGGGATCCCCCAGTGTGATTCAATATAAGGCAGCCTCTTCTGCCCCAAATGTGACCAGTTCAACAAGGCCTTGGGCTGATTCATATCCTACAGCCTTTTAAAAAGATCTGTGGGGAGGAGGGCTATTGTTTTGTTCTTTGGGTTCCATTATTTGCTGTGTTTTATCTTAAAAAACAGCATCTTAAAAAGCAGAGACATCACCTTGCCAACAAAGGCCCATATAGTTAAAGCTCTGGTTTTCCCAGTAGTGATGTATGGAAGTGGGAGCTGGACCATAAAGAAGGCTGATCGCCAAAGAATGGATGCTTTTGAATTCTGGTGTTAGAGGAGACTCTTGAGAGGCCCATGGACTGCAAGAAGATCAAACCTCTCCATTGTGAAGGACATCAGCCCTGAGTGCTCACTGGAAGGACAGATCGTGAAGCTGAGGCTCCAAGACTTTGGCCACCTCATGAGAAGAGAAGACTCCCTGGAAAAGACCCTGATGTTGGGAAAGATGGAGGGCACAAGGAGAAGGGGACGACAGAGGACGAGATGGTGGGATAGTGTCCTCAAAGCGGCCAGCATGAGTTTGACCAAACTGCGGGAGGCAGTGGAAGACAGGAGTGCCTGGCGTGCTCTGGTCCAGGGGGTCACGAAGAGGCATTAAGGAAATAAGAAAGGCTAAGCTATTTAAACGTTGCAAGAAATGAAACAGAAATTAAAATATTTGAAACAGAGTTTGCAAATAAAGTAGGTAGTATGGGGGGGAAATTAAAAAGGAAAGGAAGACTAACATTATAAATAAAGTAAATACAAGTGATGGTTTAACATATAATGGGAAAGCAATAAGACTGGGATTTTTTAGATACCGTTCTAAGAAAATAAGAAGAGGCCTGTTGGTCAGTCCAATGGCCCATTTAGCATCTTGTTCTCGCTGTGGCCGACCAGATACACCAATGGGAAACCCACAAGCAGAACTCCAGCACAATTCCTCCACAAATTTGGCCATCACTGCCTCCTGTGGCAGGGAGTTCCACAGTTTAACTACAAGCCACATGAAGCAGCTCTTTCTTTTGGTGGTCACCACTGCCGCTGTACAGCACGTAGCACCATGGGCACTTGATTCGCCTTGACCACAGCCGGGCACCACAAGAAGCCCATCCGTGCCCTTGGCAGCACTATGGACGCCTTCTTACCTGAACATTGAACATGGCCTCCTCAGGAGGAGGAGGAGGAGGAAGAAAGGCACTGGGCGGTGGTGGAGGAGGATTCCCAAGATCATCAGAAGGAGGTGGAGGTGGTGGCGGTGGTGGGAAGTCACCTATAGATGACAGGAATAATAATAATAATTTTATTATTTGTACCCCACCCATCAACCATCAAGCTGAGCACAAGATAAATACAATATCCCCCTAGGTCACAGGTTCTCTGAGGGTTTAGCAGGAAAGGAAAGCAAGTGTGGCAGGAACATTTGAGGGCAATCAAAGAAACACTGAAACATTTCAGTTTAGTATAGGACAGGATAATATCAAAGTAATTTGGGAGGATATACAACCAGAAACAGTATCTATATCTTTCTTCAAGAGCATTGGCTAAATTTCTACAGTTCTCCACGACATATTGCTGTGAGCAGAGATTTCCAGCTCTGACAAATATGAAAGATTGGAAAATACAAAGGCTTCTTTGTGTTGATGAGGAGAGGAGAGTTGGTTTGTCTCAAATGAGACCTTCTATAAATGGGATTACCCGGCAAAAGCAAGATCACCCCTCTCATTGGGTTTGCATAAAATACTCAAGCTACGTCTGCAAGAGGCTCATTGATAATTACATTGTGGGAATGATTCATCTTCTTATGTAGCTGCATTGTTTTATACTTTCTGGGTGTCCTGTGACCGTTGTGGTCTGTGTTATAAATCAAGAACTGCTGGGAGCTCTTCCTTTTTGTTTTCCGATGTATATCTTATCAATACAAAATTCAGTGTGGCATGAGCAAATTTTTATTCTGAAAGTGTGCTTCAGAGAAAAAAAGTCTGAGAAGCAATGCTCTAGCACAGGCACGTCCATCTCCCAAGAGCCTGCGATCTACTCATTGATGGCAGTGATCTACCCATTGCCAAGAGTTGTTGATCTTTTTTTTGGGGGGAAGGGGTGGTCAGAGTTGTTGATCTTTTGGGGAGGGAGCCCCAGAGTTGTTCAGCTTTTCTGAACGATCAGGATCAGGAGCACCCTGGAGATCCCACGATCTACCTGGAACCCCCCCCCCATGATCTACATGTTGGACATGCCTGCTCTAGCAAAAGCTGGGAGCCTCAGACCCTGCAATTGCCATCTGAGGCCTTTCACAGTGTGCCCGTTCCAGTGGACCTTTCCAGATCCCTGCTAAGCAAGCTGGAGTTCTTAAAAAGCTCTTTCTGTGGCATGGAAAGAGTTTATAAGCCCTCCACTTTGCCTATGGGGCTCTGGGAAAGTTGCGGGATCCCACAAGATACCGTGGGGCCATCTGAGATCTTGGGAAGCCCCTGAGAGATCTCCCACGGCCTCCCAGAAGCCTCATGCAACTGCCACAGAGCCCATTAAGGAAAGGAGAGCTGTCAGGGAGACAGTGGTGTAGCGTCGGTTGCCTGTGCCCGGGGCAAGGTGCGAAAGAGATGGGGCACTGCAACTAGCTTGTAGTGTGCCCACAGGAAGATCCGCCTGTCAGGCCCAGAAGCCGCTGTGCTGCTAGCCTGTTTCTGTACTGATGAACCTTGGCTGGGGGTTCTCCAGCAGCCCTGGGGCAGGAAGGATCTGAGGGCGCCACCCAGAACAGCAGCAACCTGTTGCACACGGCAGCGGCGGCAGCCATGGCATGAGAAGTGTGTGGCGCGCCATCACGAGATGCTGAACGGGGTGGGCAAAGAGAGGGGGCTCCATCCTGGCAAGGGAGGGCCTGGCTGTTGGCATGCACCCAAGGAAACGGGGGCAATTGGCAGGCCCCCAGCCGGCCCCAGCCCACCGGCCAGGGTGCCAGGCATACTCCGGTCCTTGGTGCAGCATAAATCTGTGACCCAGGCTTTAGAAGGCTGAGCACGCTATTCAGCAGAGAAAACGCTGCGCAGACAGAAGTGGCTCAAGAGGCTGTGTGAGCATATTTATAAGCAGGTTTTATTAAGCATAAGGTAAAGGTAAAGGGACCCCGACCAGTAGGTCCAGTCGTGACCGACTCTGGGGTTGCGGCGCTCATCCCGCTTTATTGGTCAAGGGAGGCGGCGTACAGCTTCCGGGTTGTGTGGCCAGCATGACTAAGCCGCTTCTGGCGAACCAGAGCAGCGCACGGAAATGCCCTTTACCTTCCCGCTGGAGCGGTACCTATTTATCTACTTGCACTTTGACGTGCTTTCAAACTGCTAGGTTGGCAGGAGCAGGGACCGAGCAACAGGAGCTCACCCCATCACGGGGATTCGAACCACCGACCTTCTGATTGGCAAGTCCTAGGCTCTGTGGTTTAACCCACAGCGCCACCCACGTCCCTTTTTATTAAGCGTAGATCAGGACAAAAGGAAACATGTCTGATCTCCTTCGTGTCCAAAGTAAAACAGAAAGCTATACACAAACGGAAGTTCCCAGCATACTGTGCTGGAATGTAAACAGACATGCGACACGCAACAATTCCACACGTCTGTTCCTTAAGGTGGGACAGAATTCTCACTGCCTGGCTGGCAGCCTGCTATCCACTCACAGCCTGCCCGGCCACCCCGGAGACGTCCGCTCCATGTGTCCTGCTGCTGCTGGGCCAGAAAAGGGAGCCACCTCCCTCCCAATTTTGTCACATCTTTGGCCCACTTTCTGAATTTCCACTGAGGGAAATTGCCCCCCAATGCTAAATCTCCAGAGGGGGAGATCCCAGGGTGTCTTCCCAAACTTGCGTGATGAATGCCTTTGTGTGCGAGTCCCCAGAACATAAACCCCTCGCATAAATTTCAGGCCTACTCCGTACCTGTGCAGCGTTCAGAACGCACACTGCACATCACCGGCGCCCGACTGAGATCCTGGCGATGGCCAGGGTGCCACTAAATAAAGATGGCTTTATTACAACCTTGACAGCTTGGCGGATGTTTTCTCCCCTTCCCCATAAAGTTCTGCGCCTCTGGTGTTTGCCTCTCCTGTGCTGAGATATATTCCGGTAGGCTCCCGAACACACGCTGCAGCGGTTTATAGAGATTTGATTATATACATAAATAATATTGATGTCTGGAACAAGCAGCCCAAGCCGTGATTTAGGAAGCCTTGTTGGTACCAGATGGTTGAAGATGCGGCTCGAGTCTAAACAGGCTCTCCGGGGGGCAGCTTCTCACATATCCTCACCGTGAGCTTGTCGGCTCTGGTTTTCATCTTTCAGGTGAGGTACCATCCTGGAAATCCAAGCTGTTGGAGAGGAGCTGCTCACAGGATGGGGAAGACAGTGGCATGCTTTCTTAACAGCAAGGCTAACATAAGCATGGAGTGAGATCCATCCCTGCTTTGTGTTGGTTTCTAAATAAAGGTAAAGGGACCCCTGACAGTTAAGTCTAGTCGCGAACGACTCTGGGGTTGTGGCGCTCATCTCACTCTACAGGCCGAGGGAGCCGGCGTTTGTCCGCAGACAGTTTTTCCAGGTCATGTGGCCAGCATGACCAAGCCGCTTCTGGCAAAACCAGAGCAGTGCAAAGAAACGCCGTTTACCTTCCCGCCAGAGCGGTACCTATTTATCTACTTGCACTTTGACGTGCTTTCGAACTGCTAGGTTGGCAGGAGCAGGGACCGAGCAACGGGAACTCACCCCATCGCGGGGATTTGAACCGCTGACCTTCCGATCGGCAAGTCCAAGCGGCACAGTGGTTTAAACCACAGCGCCACCCGCGTCCCTGTGTTGCTTTCAGTCGACACCTAATTCAAAAATGTCCAAATGGCACAGAGGAGGAGGCAAAATACAGGAATTTGCAAGGGGATCAAATATCAACCAATCTGAAATAATAATAATAATAATAATAATAATAATAATAATAATAATAATAATTATACCCCACCCATCTGGCTGAGTTTCCCCAGCCACTGGGGGCAGAGCTGGTGCTCAGTGTATATGGTTTTTGTGCGCATATGTGAAATCCAATCTCCTCTGTCTCCAAAGGTCTCTTCATAAAGTGCATGCAGAGCGAAGGTCCATACTCTGAGTTGGCTTTGAGATGCCACCAAATATTTTTTTTGGGGGGGGAATTTGCAGAGAGGCCTCATATATTTTTATTGCTGCCTATCACTATTAGGTATGCAACATGGCTTTACCTTTTTCAGCACTTGCTAAAAACATTTTTGTTTAGACAAACTCAAGTTTAGACAAGCTGGTGTTTAGAAAGTGATTGGGAGTTTCCTTTGAGCCACATCAGCAAGGCCGAGAGAGGGCTTTTGTCACCTGGGCAGCCCAGGACCTCCAGAAACACTGCCCAGGCTTGCGACCTGGAAAGGTCCCTTTGGTGCTGCTAATGCAGCAAAAACAACGCAGGAGGAAGCAGTTACAAGTTCCTGGTCTCTGCAGCCACAGCAGGTGCTGTGATTCTCTAGCAATTTGACTTCACCCCTGGCGGAGTCTGGAGAAGCATCTTCACAGCCCCAAATGGAGACAGGTCAGCCGGCAATCGAAATATTATCCTCGCCTTTGTTTGAAGCTATCAAGACTAAAGCAGCTTTAACCTTCTCCAGCATCTCCTAGCAGGGAGGAGAGAAAATTCGGAAGCAAACAAGACATTTCGGGGGATCTCATTAGAAGGGCTGGTTCGTCTGCTTCTTATCTGGGGGAAATTACTCCAGGACTCGTCGTCTGATGCGGGAGGAATGGCAATTAGCCTTCCTGTTGATTTCAAGCCCGTCAAGAGGCAAAATCAGTTAGGCCGAGAGTGTGCCGGCAAGATGAGATGCTGAATTAGGCACTCTCAGCTGGGAGGCAGGCGCATTAGCGCCCCACTGATCTCGACAGCGAACCAGGGATCTGGCTTTTAAAAGACATTTCTTCAAACAGCACAGTATTTATCCGCAATTAAGGCACGCAAACGGAAGGCGTTCTGGCCACGCGGATTCTGCGGAGGCCGTTTCAGGCGGTACAAGCTATTTTGGAAACACAAGGTATAACCATTCTCTCATCTGTACCGTGACTGGCCCTGATCCACCATACAGACTTGCAGATTTCAAAGCCAGGTGGACC